TCATCTCTCACCTCATCCTGGGGACCATCAGAAACATCACCCATCACCAGCTGGTGGGTGACCATCCCATTCCATAACCCTCACACCCACCAGGCTGGATGCTTTTGGCATTTTTCATGGATATATTTACACAGAGATGGGTGTTGGGTCCTAAATCAGCCCTGGAGTGCCACTCCAGGCTCTGGGAGTGCCACTGGCTCCTGTCACCACCCCAGCAGAGCTTCAGCATTGGGGTCACATGAAGGGGAGCTGGGAAACCACACACAGAGGGGAACAAGGGGAGGGAGATCAGCTGCTTTTGGGATCCCTGGAACTCTGGAACACTTGATCTCTTGAGCCTTTGGAACTCTGGAACTCTTGATCTCTGCAGTGGATGAACATTCCAGGAAGAGGAGGATCTGGATTTTCACAGATCACGTCTGGCCTGGGGTATGGGGTTGGTCCAAAGCAGTGACTGTGCCACCTCTGAGGCTCAGCAGGGTCACACCCAGAGCCAGGGGATGCAGAAACATTTCCAAGCCCAGGGACCAAACCCTGAGGCACATCCCTGGCCAGGATGGACTCAATGATCTTTGAGGTCTCTTCCAACCTTGTGATTCTGTGATTCTGTGAAATCCCTGCCCAGCTCCACCCTGAACAAGTGGGGAATTCTCCTGGACACCTGCAGGGAGAACTCAAGGAGACTCCATGTCCTGCACTTGGAACAGGACAGGGAATTTCACTGCTGCACCTGTAGATTTCTTTCCTCTGTCCTGAGATCACAGAAAACCTCTCAGGGAGGATCAGAAGCAGCCAGATCAGGCCCAGTATCTATGGGCCAACTCCCTAAAATAAGGTTTTCAAATGGACCTGCCCATCCCAGCCCACATCCATTCCAGCAGAGAATGGAACTTGGACGACAAGGTTAGAACAAATATTAAAAACTTAATTATTTTTCTTCTTTGGCTCTCCTTTTATTCTGTTTTATCCTAATGGATGATACAGTTTGGACAGGTTCCTGTCTATCTTGTGCCAAACCAATAACAGAAATGTCCAAATTGCCCAGTGTCCCAATGTCCAACCTTCCCTAATTTAATTCCTTTTGTAATGGCAACTAAAAAGCCAAAGGAGAGTGGAATCAGAGGCATTCCACAACCCCTAACGTGCAGCAATAATGGCTAATAACCATATTTCTTCCTCAAGCAACATGAACAGTTGAACATCTGACACACTGAGAGGTCAGAATGAAGCAGGATTCCCATCCATGCAGAGCAGGGATTCTCCAGGAGGAGCATTCCCACTCACTGCAGGGACTTTGCTCACCCTGCAGGCTTTTCCAAGGAAAAATCTCTGCTGTGCTTCTCCAACAAATGCAGCCCAACCTGCTCTAACCTGGCTGCAAAAGGGATTGATCTGGCCTCATCACCTGATAAGATCCATCAGAAGCTTGGTGGGAGCCGC